AATGGGCTCATTTCTAAATGTTGTTGTTGTTAAATGCTGTAGAGTTGGTTCCAACTCACAGCAACCCTGTATAGGGTTTCTGAGAAGTGGCTGGTGAATTTGAAGCTTGCAAGGAAAAGAAACCCTAGACAAAGTCCGAATGAGTAGTAACCGACTGATAGGCATTTAACAACAAGGAAATTCTCTGGAACGGTTAGTTCTATATCCAGTTCTACTCTGCCCTATCGGGTCACTGAGTTAGGAAGGAGTTGAAGACACAAACTACAACACAGTAATTTTATGCTGTAGTAAGTAATTCGTTTTCTTGATTTCCTTTGCGATCTTGGGCAGAGACCAGTGTGACTGGAACATTCTTCCATCCTCGCACATTATGGTGGTGTGCGTGTTGTTAAGTACTGTTGAGTTGGTTCCATTATAGGTGCTTTAAAAATGACTCTTAAATGCTAAGACTGTCCATTTCCTAGGTGGATAATACCCTTCCAAGGCTATGTTATAGAGATTGGTAACGACTGAACGGATACTCCATAGAAACTATTCAAAGAGCTCTTAAAAACAAACATTTGTAATAGAGTTGACAATTAACCCAGCTTCTTTATAAACAGTTATTTCAGGAGCAAATATCTCAGTGGGAAAATGCTTTTATTTGTCACCTGTATTGCAAAACTCGAAAAATGAGAAGGCCTTATGCGTCTGTTAGAAAATAAGAACAATTCAATTTAAGGAAAAACTTCACAGTTTGGAGCCCGGAAATGTCTATTCTGGAATAAACTGTCTATTAATTAAACTCAAGTGATTTAAACATTCATCACCTAGCATTGCACATTTCAGAAAACAAAAACACCCCTTACCCCCCCCAAAAAAATCCTGGGGTTTTGATTGAAGAAAACAGATAACCATATCCACACACACAACTTTTCTAAAATGCGCTGGATTTAGGAGGTCCAGGGACCAGCGAGGCTCCTCCCGGTCAGCTGCAAACCCTGCTTCAGGCACAGCAGGCGTTGCGTTCAGGAGTGTTGGCAGTTGGCGACCCCCCTCGAATCCCCCTCTGCTACGGGCTCCCTGTGGCCTTTGGAGGCTTGAAGAGTCTGCTCCAAATGTTTTCCATATTTGTTCAGCCTCCGTAATTCGAATACCAGGGCAGGCGCAGCCCTCCTAACGCCGCGCTCCAGGGCCCAGCGCGCCGCACACGCAACCAGCCACCCAGCCACCCACGCAGCCGCCATGGGCAAGGACAAGCAGTCCCGCGGGCAGCAGAGACAAGGGGGGCTGCCGGCTGCGGACGCCGCAGGGTCCGAGGACATGGGGCCGAAGAAGGGCAAAGGGGCCCCCAAAGAGTGCGGGGAAGAGGAGGCCCAGAAGTGCTGTGGCTGCCGGTTCCCGCTGCTGCTCGCCCTGCTGCAGCTGGCCCTGGGCATCGGCGTGACCGTGGTGGGCTTCCTCATGGCGAGCATCAGCTCCTCCCTGCTAGTCAGAGACTCTCCATTTTGGGCTGGGATCATTGTAAGCATCAAGTCTGTTTTGCCTAAACGTGTTTGCCAAACAGGAATGCAAAGCCGCATGGTGGAATTAAGACTAACCCAACTGCATGCAGCCTTCCCAGGTCCAATTGTCTAACTCTCGCTCTGCTTGGTAACTGATGCCTGACACACTTGGTTTTCCTGGGGGCAGACTGGACGCGGTGGGATGCTTCCCCTTCTCCCGCTGTTTGTTCCCAACACCTACAAGGGGCCTGACTCTAATGTGCTGGAGTCAAGGAGGCAATCTCAAAGCTTGCTTACTTTGTCAAATTGAGCAGCCCCAAAAACAACAACAGATTCACTTTGGTAGTTCCCTTATCCTATCCTGTCTCCACCCCCCAACCTGGGACCCCACCCCCCAACCTGGGACTTCACCCCCCAACCTTGTTCCCATGTAGGTAGCCCAAAGTGAATATGTCTAGTAAAAACAGTCTAGGAAAATGCCTGTACTTGGAGTTGCCATATTGGGTAATATTAATTTTATTTCTTAATTTGAAGTTCCACGAGTGTTTATAAAATAATTATCTAAGACAGAAATGCTAAGCACAGCCTTAATCCGCTGGAGTCTAAAGTAAGATAGATAACTCCAGGACTCTGGCCATGGCAAAAATCTATTTGGGACTCTGCTATGCGATGTACTGTTCTAAGCAGAACACTGCTCAGCTGTTGTCAGTGTTGTTTTGTTTGAACATCACATGCTTGGCAAAATCCAATGGATTCTTTCATTTAAATTGGTGTCCATTTATTGAGCACCTACTGTGTACTGCCAGAAGTTTTACATATATTATTTCTACTCTCCATATCTGTTTGGGATAGTTATTATAATTCTTTCAAACAAGAGAACTGAGGCCCAGACTCACCCTGGGCCAAGAGTTGGCAAAGCACTCAGTGATAGCCATCGAACTGCATCTGCGTTTCCCTCCTGAAGCTATGCTGCCACTTAAATACGCATTTAGTTTGTAATTTTAATATTATGTCACAGTACAGGGCCTTGCAGCTTCTTAAGCCTTTTCCCGTGCATTATTTCATTGAACCCATGAAATAACACTTTGAAGTAGGAATTATGATTCCTCTTTTCACATGAGGACACTCGGGTTCAGAGAAATCAAATGGCATTCTCTTACGGCCCAGAGATTGAAAGTGGTGGAGTCAGCTGATACTAGACTCGACACGCCTAGTCTCATGTGACATCATTACTGCTATTACTGACCACAGGAACAACCTCCAAAATCATTTTGTATCAGTGAAAGATTTTAAAGACACGTGATAAATATGCATCAGTGCAGCTATTTTCTAATTAAGATTATTTGAATTCACAGATTCTTGCAGAGTAATTTAAAACTTCTAATTTGTGTACTAAGAATTCCCATGAAATTATCATGATTAGTGTTTCCTAAATCAAGTGATTTTAAAAATAGCTTTTCACTAAGATATACTGGGTATTTTAGTCACTGCAGTGACTGTTGTAGCTACTCAGAGGAAAAAAAATTCTAGACTTTTGGTCTAGGAAAGTTTTTTTTTAAAGGAATGAAACTTCCTTATTTAATATTTTAAAATATCTTTCTTTAGTCCAGCTTCATTGTTCCCGTTATTAAAAAAAAAAAAAAAAAGGAAAACTAAGTTAGTTGGTCAAGAGTGAGGTGAGGGCTCATTTTAAGTCTCAGTGCATTAACATGAAAATTGTGCAACTCCAAAATTTCATGGTTTGGACTTCCTATAGGCTGTGATGCTCCTAGATGCAGTGAAAGCAAATAGAAAGTGGGACAAAGAGGATTCTTTACAAAGCCCTCTGTCCTTTCCAGTTTATAATCTAGGGTTCATTTGAAGTTTGTTCATAATGTGTAAATTTGATTATATCTATTATCTTAAATTTTCTTCTAACAGAAAATGTATTTAGGGCAGAGAAGCTAGTGGAGATGACCAGAGAAAAGTGAGGAAGATCTCTGAGAAGCTGGGTGAGGAACCACTCTCGTCCCAGCTGGACCGAGCTCTGGACAGCATGTCACTGCCCCACACAGACAGTGTGCTTGTCCTCATCTCGCTGTCTGTGGCTGGCCACAGGGTATTCTTCCTATGCTTTCAGGAAAGGACAAGACCATGAGGCAGGATGGTGCAGTGCAGGTGAAGAACCACTGTATCTGATGTTGCACCGTAGGTTGGCCATTACCAGCTCAGTAATATGGGGCAAGTTACTTAAGCTCTGCAGGTTTCCACTTCTTTATTTATAAAATTAGGATAATAATAAATCCTGCCTTTTAGGATTGTTCTGAGGATTAAATAAACACATGTAAAGCACTTAGAGCAGTGCTGGATGATGGCCAGTGCCCAGTGAGTGTTAGCTCCTTTTATTAGCCATTAGTGATGTGATCATGGGTGGTGGTACTCTTACAGGTAGAAGTTACTCTCTTTCATCTATAGACTTGGGGAACAGTCATTTTGACTTATTACATTTCCCAATCCAGTTTGAACCCAAAAGAGATGTTATTTTGGCCATCTTATTTTTCTCTGTCCTGTTCTCAGGTCACTTTTTAGCAACCTCAGTGATGTTAGATAAATCTAGGACTTTCTGAATCTCTCCAGATCTTTGTGAAAATAAAGTTGGTGGATGGAGAACTCTGCAGGGTCATTTTCCCCAGAGATGGGGAGTGATTTGGATCTGGTATATCCTCCTGGGAATACTGAAATTTTTGCTCTATTCTGGAGAGCCCCCAACACCCAAGTTAGACCAGAATTATTGTTGTTAAGTGCCATCCAGGCCATTTTGACGCACAGCAACCCTGTATACTGTTTTACTTAACACCAACAATTAGGGTTTCCAAGGAGTGACTGGTTGGGTTGAATAGCTGACCTTGCAATTAGCATTCCAACTCTTATCCTACAGTATACCACCAGGACTCCTAGACCAGAATGCTATTATTGTTGTTGTTAAGTGCTGTCGAGATGGTTCCAACTCATAGCAACCCTGTATAGAGTTTTCAAGGAGTGGTTAATGAGTTTGGAATGTTGACCTTGCAGTTCAAACTGACCTCGCAGTCCAGTGCTTATATTAAAGCACAACACCAGGACACTGGGACCACAATAGTGCTGGTCAATTTATGGAACTGAATCAGAGCCAAACCAACTTCTAGAATTTAGACTGAATTCAAGCAGGGTCCCCAGACTGAGGCACCTTACCACATCTATAGCTTCTGAAACTTTACTCTTCTGTTTCTCCCTAGAATCGGGCAGTCTCTTAATTGTACAAGGTCTACAATTCCATAAGGAGCTCTGGTGGCACCGTGGTTAAAGTGCTCAGCTGCTAACAGAAAGATGGGCAGTTTGAGTCCACCAGCTGCTCCACAGCAAAAAGACATGAGTCTGCTTCTATAAAGTTTATGTCTACTTTGTCCTGTGGGGTCACTATGAGTCCAAATCAGAGTCAGATTATACAATAAGCAAGTTAAGTATGGGTTCTGTTGTTGTTGTTAGGTACCATCGAGTTGGTACCAACTCATAGTGACCCTATGCACAACAGAACGATACACTGCCTGCTCCTGGGCTAACCTCACAATTGCCACACTTGAGCCCATTGATGCTGCCACTTGGCCAATCCATCTCTCTGGGGGTCTTCCTCTTCTTCTCTGACCCTCCACCTTACCAAACATGATATCCCTCTTCAGTGACTGGTCCCTCCTGACAATATGTCCGAAGTATGAGAGACGGATGAAGTCTGGCCATCCTGGCCTCCAAGGTGCACTTTGCCTATACTTCTTCCAACATGGATCTATTTGTTCTTTTGGCAGCCCATGGTACTTTCAGTATTCTCCTCCAACACCATAATGCAAATGCATCAATCTACTACGATCTTCCTTATTTCTGTCCAACTTTAGCATGCACATAAGGCTATTGACAATACCATGGCTTGGGTCATAGAGCCGACATCTTTGCTCTTCAACACTTTCAAAAGGTCTTGTGCAGCAGATTTGCTTAATGCAATATGTCATTTGATATCTTGGCTGCTGCCTCCATGAGTGTTGATAGTTGATCCAAGAAAAATGAAGTCTTTGACAATTTCAATCTTTTCTCCATTGATAAGATTGTTGTTTATTGGTCCAGTGCTGAGGATTTTTGTTTTCTTTACATTGAGATGCAATCCATACTGAAGGCTGTGGTCTTTGATCTTCATCAGTAAGTATTTTAAGTCCTCTTCACTTTCAGCAAGCAAGGTTGTATCATCTGCATATCATAGGTTGTTAATGTGTCTTCCTCCATTCCTGATGCCACGTTTTTTGTTTTCTTTTCATAGAACCCAGCTTTTCGGATTATTTGCTCAGCATACAGGTTGAATAATTATGGTGAAAGAATACAACCCTGTTGCACATCTTTGCTAATTTTAAATGATTCAGTATTCCCATGTTCTGTTCGAATAACTAACTGCCTCTTGGTCTATGTACAGGTTCCTCTTGAGCACAATTAAGTGTTCCAGAATATTCGTACTTTGCAATATTGTCCATGACTTGGCATGACTTTATAGACATTTGTGTAGTCAATAAAGCCAAGAGCCATCTGACATCAGCAACGATATCCCTCATACCACATCCTCCTCTGAATCCAGCTTGAACCTCTAGAATTTCTCTGTCAATGTATGGTTGCAGCTGTTTCTGTATTGCCTTTAGTAAAACTTTACATGGGATATCAAAGATATTGTCCGATTATTTCAACATTCCATTGGGTCACCTCTCTTTGGAATGGGCACAAATATGGATCTCTTCCAATCAGTTGGCCAAATAGTTGTCTTCCAAATTTCTTGGCATAGATGAGTGAGTGCCTCCAGTACCGCCTCACTGTGTTGAAAGATTTCAGTTTGTATTGAAGTCCATCAATTCCCAGTGTCTTGTTCTTGGCCAATTCCTTCAATGCACCTTGGACTTCTTCCTTCAGTATTATTGGCTCTTGATAATATACTACCTCTTGAAACTGTTGAACAACGACCATTTTCTTTTG